AGACGAACTTAAAATCTTGCTAAATGATAATCCTATCGATGTCTTAGCTATTAACGAGACAAGGCTTGATTCCTCTATTACTGATTGTGAAGTATTTATTCCAGGTTACGAAATTTTTCGTCGAGACCGTAATACTAATGGTCGACATGGCGGAGGAGTTTGTTTTTATGTACGAACTAGTATTAACTGTACTTCCCGTCATGATCTAAATTTTAAAGATTTAGAAAATCTATGTATTGAAATTCGCAAGCCACGTTCCAAACCTTTTCTCGTTGCTAGCTGGTATCGACCCCCAGATTCTAGTGTTGATAAATTCAATTGCTTTGAAGCGCTTGTCGGTAAGATGGATGCTGAGGGCCTAGAGTATTATATTTTGGGTGATATGAACACTAACCTAATTGCTTCTAATCTTGACAATAATTCGCGTCGCTTAACCGATATTGCTGATGTTTATGGCCTTCAGCAACTTATCAGTGAACCAACTCGCGTTTCTAGCTTTTCTTCTACTATGATTGACCTAATTTTTACTAATTCTCCTACTAGGGTGGTTTGCTCAGGTGTCTCCCACATCAGCATTAGTGATCATAGTCTTATTTATGTTTTTCGTAAACTTGCAGTTGGTTTATCTATTAATCATCATTCAACTGTAACTTACAGAAAATTTAAAAATTTTAATTCCGCTAGCTTCCGCAATGACATTTCTTCTCAAGACTGGAACTCAATTAGTGAACTTAATGATCCTAATAGCATGTGGCATATTTGGAGAAACATGTTTTTGAATGTTGCTGACAAGCATGCTCCTATTCGGACGAAGCGTGCTGGTTCTTTTAAGTCACCGTGGATTACGTCTCATTTGAAACAATGCATGCACAGAAGAGATGTTTTAAAGATTCAAGCAATTCGCTCAAATGATCCGAACGATTGGCGTGCTTTCAAAATCTGTCGTAATAGTGTGAACAATGAAATAAAATTGGCTAAACAAAGATATTACAAAGAGGCTTTTCATGAGTGTGTAGGCAATCCGCGCAAAACATGGGGAGTTATTAATGAACTTACATTAAGAAAATCTAAAAGTTCCTTTGTTAACGAGATAAAATGCGAAGGTGTGTCAATAACTGATTCGTCGGATCTCACTGAAGCCTTTAATGACCACTTTGTCACTGTCGGTCCAAAACTGGCTGATGAAATTTCGACTAGCGTAAACAATCGCTCTCCCCTACATTATCTCAGTAGTCATATACATGACCATGAACCCTTTCAGTTAGAATCAACAAATAACTCTAAAGTTTTCTCGTTATTATATAGGCTTAGCAAATCCAAAGCAACTGGTCTGGACAAAATCTCTGCTAGACTCTTACGTGAATGCGCTGATCTCATTTCGTACTCCCTTTGCTTGATTTTTAATTGCTCCATTTCTGCTGGTGTATTTCCAGATGAATGGAAGTGTTCTAAAGTTATACCTTTATTTAAAAATGGGAGTCACTCTGAGTTGAACAATTATCGACCTATTTCGATTATTCCGGTTGTTGCTAAAGTTTTTGAGCGAATTGTATACGATCAAGTATTGGCTTATATTAACAATTATAATTTGATTTCAAATTGTCAGTCTGGATTTCGCGGTCTTCACTCCACTGCCACCGCTCTATTGGAGGCTACGGATAATTGGGCATATAATATTGATAGCGGTTGTGTGAATGCCGTTGTTTTTCTAGACCTAAAAAGGCCTTTGACACGGTAGATCACGATATCTTATTATCTAAACTTAATGCGTACGGTATTAGAGGTGTTGTACACAAATGGTTTGAGTCTTATTTGAATGGTCGTCACCAAAAGTGTTTTGTAAATGGGTGTCTATCCGAAAACCGCGCATTAACATGTGGTGTTCCTCAAGGAACAATACTAGGGCCGTTATTATTTTTATTGTATATAAATTATTTGCCGAATTGCCTCTCACATTCACAGCCTCGTATGTTTGCAGACGATACTCACTTGACATATGCGGATATAATGATATCGCTAAAATCGAATTTAATCTCACTAATGATCTTGAGAGTATTCGTGAGTGGCTTATTGTTAATAAATTAACACTGAACATGTCCAAAACTGAATTTATGGTGATAGGTTCGAGACAGAGACTTTATACGTTTGATAATGCTCCAGTACTTACAATCGAAGGGGCTCCTATCAAACAGGTAAAATCAACCAAGTCTCTGGGCCTTCACATTGATGAGCATCTCTCATGGTCTGTTCATGTTGATGCCATTTCCAAAAAAATCGCCTCTGGCATTGGTGCGCTAAAACGCATCAGGCCTTTTGTTCCTCGTACAACTCTGCATACCATTTTTCATTCACTAATTCAACCACATTTTGACTATTGCAGTGTTGTGTGGGGGAATTGTAATAAAACTCTTGCTACTAAAATGCAGAAATTACAAAACCGTTCGGCTAGGGTTTTAACATTTTCCGGCTATGATACTAATGCTGATGGTCTTTTTCAAGACCTTGGATGGGAAAACCTTGAAACACAGCGCCAAATTCATCAGGCTATTATGGTCTATAAGTCGATAAATGGTTTGGCTCCTGAATATCTTCGTTCAAAATTTGTTGATCATAGCTGTGTTTCGGGTTATTCTCTTAGGGACACTGTTGGCAAACTTGCTGTTCCTTTTCCTCGTACTAACTACCTAAGAAACTCCTTTAGTTATAGTGGTGCAGTAACATGGAACAGCCTTCCTGTTGAGTTGAGGCAAGCTAATTCTTTAAATTCGTTTCGATCTGGCTGTAATAAATTTCTCTCTTCTCGATCGTAATACCTAATTAATGCACGGCACTCGTGTAAAGCAGGTTTTTCTTTTGTCATTTCTTAGTATGAATTTATATATTGTGTTATTTATATTGTAAGTAGTGTGTTATTAGTTTTATGCATAATTTTGTAGATTTATTTATATATATAGCTATATGTATGTAATCTTAATCCTGATGAGTACACCGTGGATAAATAAAGTTACCTTACCTTACCTTGCCGTTTTGATCCTAACGTACGGACCAACTGGCGGCCGACTGGAGGATGTGTAACGTGCTAAATATAACTTTAATTGTGCATGTAAGCCGAAACGCCGAAAGTTTTATCTGTAGGCGGGCACCGCATTTTAGTACTGTGTCTGGTTTTGCCTGTTTTCTATATATCTGGCTATAATTACTGACAGTCATAATAACCTGTTGTTTTCTCTCTGCATTATATCAGCGAATGTCGAGAAGTTTTAGCGTTCTTCTGAAAAACGGGAACGGTCCTTTTTGATTGTAGGGAAATTCCCAGGGGTAAATGTTTATACGGGCTAAAATAGCACACAGCATTATTAAAAATAATGCAGCGTGCACACAAGCATTATTAAAAATAATGCAGCGTGCACACAGCATTGTTAAAAATAATGCAGCGTGCACACAGCATTTTTAAAAAGAATCCAGCGTGTATCAGTGCACACAGACATTATTCGCAATCCTCCGTCATCCTGACAAGTACACGCGATAACGTGAACATCTCAAGATGAGAAGTTGACAGTGCTAAAGGCCCCTCATACAACATCATCGGGCGCCTGAAGCACTGCCAAAACGGTCACTGTGAGTCCTTTCAGCTCAACTTAATAGAGAAATAGTTTCGTTTGCGCTTGTGGGATTTTATCCTAGATATACGCATGTGCAGAACACACCATAAGTTCTATTCCCGTGTTTATCCAGTTTAATACGCTCTTTGAATTAACCTTATCATTAATGATAATATGTAAACTAGAACACTATAATTCACCTCCGCTTGTGGAGATTTTAATTTAGGGCCATTAATTAAACTGAAATCTGTTCTATCACGATGCATTACATGCATGTCCTCACGAATGTCTAGTGTAACGTTGGATAGATTCATTGTCATACGGTCCCAACAAGCAGCAACGTAGTCTTCCAGAGTCAGTAATTATAATATCGAGTCAGTAATTATAATATCGAGTCAGTAATCGAGTCAGTAATTATAATAGATAATTACTTCGGCCAAACGGCATTATTCGATATATTGCAGCCAGCTTCGGCCTTCGGCCTCAGCTGGCTGCAATATATCGAATAATGCCGTTGGCCTCAGTAATTATCTATTAAGTATTTGCAATGTCGGATGTTGCGCCTTTGACTTTGTGCCCTATGCATGCATACTTAATTGTAATGGAAATTAAGTATTGAAATAGCATATCTCTTCTTATTTTAAATATAAAAATCCGCCGTGCTCAGATTATTTAGTTCTTGGTAAAAATCACTGAGCCATACTAGTAAAGATGGAACAGCCATTTTGTGTTTGTCAAACTAAACCACTGATTTGTATAGTGCACTGAATTATCAAGAGAACGTGAGCCCGCACGCCTGACCGCTTCTGTCCTCCATTTCTGGCCATTGCAAGTTTTACAGTATTATTTTATTATTTGTTAGTCGTTTGGTTTCGTAAAATATTGATTACCACTAACATCAAATAATAACATGTAACGTGAAAAAATGTGAATAGGACATTAATAGTCTTTGACGACCATTGATTTCTATACACCTGAGTGATTAGTTAAGACAGTTGTAATTTTATATCGATATCCACCATGCCATGGAGCAATAGAGCATTTCAAGCAATAATCCGAAGCATAATAATGAAGTATAATAATGAAGCATAGTAGTATCAGAAATTAGAAAATTCTGATTTAGAATTTTCTATAACACCAATATACCGATTATAATACCAGTGTTCTTAGTCTCGTAATGATCTATACATAAAAAAATTCACGTCTATTCATTACATAATTACCTTTGTTTCTACAGGTATGCAAATATGTCGAAACTTGTGATCGCAGCGATAACAGGAAATTTTCATGAAGTAAAACGATTAGTTGAACATGGTGCTGATGTAAATTGTGACGATCAATTTGAAGGAAGTCCTCTTCACATTGCTACATCATCTGGTTCACTGGAAATTGTCAAATATTTACTTGAACATGGTGCTGATGTAAATTGTGAAAATCATCATAAAGGAAGCCCTCTTCGCCATGCAGTTTCATCTGGTTCACTGGAAATTGTCAAATATTTAGTTGAACATGGTGCTGATGTAAATTGTGGAGATCAATATGAACGAAGTCCTCTTCACATTGCTACATCATCTGGTTCACTGGAAATTGTCAAATATTTAGTTGAACATGGTGCTGGTGTAAATTGTGAAGATCAATATGAAGGTAGTCCTCTTCACATTGCTACATCATCTGGTTCACTGGAAATTGTCAAATATTTAGTTGAACATGATGCTGATGTAAATTGTGAAAATGATTTTGAAGGAAATCCTCTTCACTCTGCAACATCTGGTTCACTGGAAATTGTCAAATATTTACTTGAACATGGTGCTGATGTAAATTGTGAAAATCATTATAAAGGAAGTCCTCTTCACTCTGCAGCCTCATCTGGTTCACTGGAAACTGTCAAATATTTACTTGAACATGGTGCTAATGTAAATTTTGAAAATCATAATAAAGGAAGTCCTCTTCACTCTGCAACATCTGGTTCACTGGAAATTGTCAAATATTTAGTTGAACATGGTGCTGATGTAAATTGTGAACATCATCATAAAGGAAGCCCTCTTCACTCTGCAGTTTCATCTGGTTCACTGGAAATTGTCAAATATTTAGTTGAACATGGCGCTGATATAAACTGTAAAAGTTGGTGGAATAATTTTGAACCTGTGATTCAGAATGCTGTTAAGTTTGGTTCATTGGAAATGGTTAAATACTTAATTGAACATGGTGCTGAACTAACAAATGAAGAAAATTTTGACATGCCCAAAATTTTATGTCTAGCTTGTGAAGGTGGGAATGCGTCAATTGTTGATTACCTTCTCCAACATGGAGTGATGAAAGACGTGAATAACTGGAAATTGCACTCTCCCTTACGTATAGCATGCCTGAAAGGTCATACCGCCGTAGTTCAAACATTACTGAAATATAACGTTGATATACGAAAAGAGAAGGAACCATTAATATGTGGCAATAATGAGATCATAAATATATTGAATGTGGAATTAAAGAAATCCCTTAAACATCGCAAGAAAATTACGATTTTGAAAGGAATGAACAACGTAAACTTGACAAAGGTAATATTATATTTCAGTTTTATTGCATGCAGAGCAAAAAAGAAACGTGTATTTATTAGTTATTATTTTTGGCTTTGGCCGTTTAATCGAGTACCCGCTTTATATTTTTATTGTGTTTTAATTGTTTCAAGAATTCAATCACGTGGAAACCGGGGGTTGCGAGTTAAACATTGCCTATTTTTGCCCGAACTATGACAGCCAAAATGGCGGATAATATAAATCATATACTGAATCATTAGGAAGGAAGCAGTTTTTTAAAATTTGACCCAGCTTGCTGTGATAGCTATGTCATTCGCCGAAATTACTGCGATATCAACTCAATCTGAAGCATTAAAGTGCCTGTGCAAGATTTTTTTTATGATTGAACTTTGCAAAGTTCATTTAAAATCATAATGTAATTTATTTTCTAAAACGTTATTGTATGTCAAGATTTATTATCTATAACGTCTTGTATGTCAAGATTTTCGACTTTGTTTGGTCATGTGCATATGTGACTTAAAATTAAATGACATCACAATGCATAACGAGTTTTTAGATAGAAAACATTCCCTTGCCAAACATGTAATAATTCCACTGACATTTAAAGTTATGTACGTACTTTAAAAACTGTCAAATTGCTACCATTTTATATGTAAATTTGAGTTAATGACAATTTTATCAAGCTAAAAAACAGTATTCTGTAAAAAACATTATGCTGTGTGACGTCATTTAAGTCATATTTGCATGCTAAACAAAGTCCAATATTTTGATATACCCAATAAACAAAGTTTTAGAAAACAAGTTACATTATGATTTTTAAATTAACTTTTCAATTCAATCATAAAAAAATTCTCGCATATAGGCACTTTAAATATGGAAGATCCACATCGTATTACAACTTGTAAGTTGTTATATTTCTTAGGTCAACTTCATGGTATATCGACGTAGAATAAAATATAGCATTACATGACGATTGTGCAACAAACGTAGTTTTAAATCTGCTTAAGTCATCTGTCGAACCCGTCATTAAATTTGGCGCAATCGCTTAGTAAAATAGATATTCTCTGCGTAATTTCAGTGGGTTGCAAGAAGAACGATCTTTTAAGATTGTTATCCATGTTAGGCTTTTATCAATGCGGTTTGAGCAGGAATAGTTACGTATAACTTTGAACTCTTTTTTAGGTCATTAAAAGACCGACATCTCCTAACAAATTTATGTATTCATAATAATTGAATAAAAGCAGCGAAATCCTATTTCTTGAGATATTAAAGCATGCTTATAGGTATCAATAAATTTTCATTGGCAAAACCGCTGAATTATATTGCAGGCGCATGCCTGGAACTTTTGGCCAAGCAATTCAATAATATTAATTGTTTAATTACTGTATCTAAAATACTGTATTTTCCCAATTGAAGAATGCATTTCGGCCTTCCTTCATCATATTACTAGCGTCTATATAATTCACACATGCACCAAACAAATGCTTTTCATCTTTATTATATTCATTTTGAAGTTAATGGCATGTAAGGCGCAGTCCGATTGGCCAAAAATGGTGCGATCACGATAGGTGACAGGATGATTTCGAGTGCAATTACAGCCCAATAATACATGATCAACAAATACAGAACAGTTTAATAATTATAATTGTATAATCCAAAATAATTTTGTAAAATTTTATCATGCAATTCAGTTTACTGCAATTTACTTCTAATAAACCGATTATTGTTATTTGTAGCCTATTAGGTATTACATATTATTAAGAAGCGTTCAAGATTTAATATTACCTGAAATTCAAGCTTATAGAGTGAAAAATAACATACCTACGTTATATAGTTTAGTTCTTTGTAGGTTTGCATGGCGATAAAACATATAATATATACCTTTTGTTTGCAGTACTAATGAATTTACGTGGTGTTTGACGTGCTTCCACAAACAAAAAGTACAAGGGATAGTTCGATAGTTAAAAGAGTTAGATTTCTTTAATATGAACCTACGATAAAAATATCGTGTAGTTCAGTTAATAAAGAATATTTTATACAATAAATTTATGGACGTTGTGAATACACGGAATGCCAGAATATCACGGAATATACTGGAATTTCGCAGAATGTGCCGGAATTTCTCGGAATATCAAGACATTTTCACGGAATATGCAGGAATTAAGTTAATTTACAATTAAATATTTGGTCGACTAATTTGGGCTTGTACGCCTGCGAACAGGCTGTAAAACAAAGATGGCGCCTTTCTACAGGGTAGATATAGATAGATATACTATATTTAATACTTAAAACTCGCAGCCTTGGTAATAACCTTTGGCTGGATAACGTTAAATTTTACAAGAATATCTGAAAAAAAGTTGAAAAAAGTATTTAGCTATAAGCTATGTATTTACATGGATTAAAACACATTAAATATTTTACGTATATTCTTTATATTTACTGGAATTACAGTTGATAAAATCGTTTTTACATCTAATTGTCTTTAGGAACTAAAAACTTTCTTCTTACTCTTAGAGATACCTCAGAAGGGTGAAGAGAAACTGTTTGTTTGACTCGAGGTTTGACTTTGGCAGACTGCTAAATTGTCCGATAAAAAACTTTTTGTTATATCCTAGAAGATTGCCTAAAGTAACATCGTAAAGCATTTTCGTTAGTGACTGTGCATGTTTTTTAATAATATCGATGCCGATAGTTTATTCATATATTCATAATTATTTTTATATAAACGATATTTTATTAAAGTCAAACATTGGGAATTGGCCAAAAGCCACTAAAGGCTTAATTGGGGCGCTCTTGACGTTACATATTTACAAAAAAACAGCTAATAAAGCAAGCGTAAATTTTGGACAAACACACAATTAAAATACACATACACTGGGCAACGTAGTCAAGGGCTGCTATACGAGTGAAACGACCTGGAATCAATAATATATTTTTGGACACTTAGGAATAAATTAATATTCGTATCAATAGAAACATTTCCAATACCATAAAGTAACCACTTAAGACGTGTACCCTTACCAGCACCTGACCACGCCGCGATATAAATCGTAGTTTAATTAATGTACTATTAGATAATCTCAAACGAGTATGCAAAATAGCTGGTAGACGATCACCTATATAATGCTGTGCTGAGTGGTTATATTACTACCTTAAAAACTGATAAGCAGAAACTCGACGTTTCGAGCGAAGGCCCTTCGTCAAGAGTTAGTAGCAGGGATCGGGGAAAATGCACGGGCTTTTATAGTAAGAGTATGAAAGCATTACGTGACAAAAATAACCAATTAGATGGATTTAATCACAACAAAGTGTAAACAAAATATGTAAATCGCATTACAGAATATAATATAATAAAAACTATAAAATATACAGGAAGCTAAGACAATTACTACAAAAAATAATAATCAAAACAAAACAAAACAAAAGTGGGAATAAGGTAAAAGTAAAATGTTGTCAATGTCTGCTTAGGACAGGCAAGGACAGAAGGAATTAAATATAGGAAAAGCGTTCATTAATACTAGAAGGGTAAACAGTGCCAAGTTTGGATACGAGGCGCATTTCATGTCGTTTGCGGCTATCATTGCTTCCAGAAATAGGACAGAGGGCTCGAATTACCTTATCTGAAACACTGTGATTGCCATTGATTTTCACATCAAGCACCATTTCACGTGCGCCTCCTCCCATCTTATCTACTGCATCTCTTGCAGCATATGTGGCATGCTTTACATTGGGAAAACTGGAAGATGTTTAAGGACAAGGTTTGGTGAGCATCGGCGTGCAGTTATTGGCAATGATGCTAACCAACCTGTTGCCAGACATTTTAATAATGGCAATCACAGTGTTTCAGATATGGTAATTCGAGCCCTCTGTCCTATTTCTGGAAGCAATGATAGCCGCAAACGACATGAAATGCGCCTCGTATCCAAACTTGGCACTGTTTACCCTTCTAGTATTAATGAACGCTTTTCCTATATTTAATTCCTTCTGTCCTTGCCTGTGCTAAGCAGACATTGACAACATTTTACTTTTACCTTATTCCCACTTTTGTTTTGTTTTGTTTTGATTATTATTTTTTGTAGTAATTGTCTTAGCTTCCTGTATATTTTATAGTTTTTATTATATTATATTCTGTAATGCGATTTACATATTTTGTTTACACTTTGTTGTGATTAAATCCATCTAATTGGTTATTTTTGTCACGTGATGCTTTCATACTCTTAGTATAAAAGCCCGTGCATTTTCCCCGATCCCTGCTACTAACTCTTGACGAAGATCGAGCCTTCGCTCGAAACGTCGAGTTTTTGCTTATTTTTTAAGGTAGTAATATAACCACTCAGCACAGCATTTCTACATTGGTACTACCGACACTGGTACAGACAGTTTTAGTATATAGATCACCTATATAGTATAGCGGATTGGGAGCTACGAACTTGTGTAGCCGAGTCACACTGTTCTTAAAAATGACAATTGAACAACTAGAACGAATAGTCGCCGCTAAAAGGCTATTCCAAAGATTCACAAAGGAAATATAAAATTACTTTTTGTAACGTTCGGTTCTAGCGAAAGGGACAATCAGATTATCATTAGCACGTAAACTACGATTTGATCTAGAACTGACATTATCAGGACGCAATTCTGACAGATACGGAGGGGCCAGATTATTTACAATTTTGTACATCATAAATAGCTTATGATCATTACGTCTGGCTTTTAGAGAAGACCAAGCTGTTTCATTAAGAAGGCTTCCCTATGAGTACCTTTCAAAGCCCACGTTACGAGCCTGGCTGCCTCAAATTGCAAGCTTTCAAGAAGGTTATGGTCAGCATCACAACACCCATCCCACACAACATCCGCATATTCCAAGCAAGAACGGACAACGGATTTATATAGAATTTAAAGGGGTTTTTTCCTAGCTTAAATTTCATTGGTTTAAGTAAGTTAAGTTATTTTGAAGCAACCGCCACGATAATTTATTAGTAAGAGTAACGCCCAGGTGATCATGCTGATCAACTATATCACATCAATTGGTTCGTTGGCCAAAGTAAGCATAGGATGCAAGGGCTTGATTAACTTGGAAGAAAATATCATGTTTTTGTCTTGTTAGCATTCATGGTCACCAACCATCGATCATCCCACATTGATATAGAATCAAGATCGTTATTTAGCTTGTTAGCTGTGTCAATCTGCGATACGACTTCATCTAATAGTAAGGAATCATCAGCGAACTGAAAATAAGTGGAAGAAACATTATCAGCTTTGTCGTTGATATAAATCAGAAATAACAGTGGTCCAAGAACAGATCCTTGAGGTACTCCGGCTTCAATATAAGTCCCTAATCAGAACTTGTTCCCTCAATGGTTACTCTTTGATATCTTTCAGTCAAATAACTTTCAAACCATTGAAGTAAGGGGCCGTTTATGCCAATACTTTTAAGTTCGGCTAATAAACTTTTATGCCAAACCTTATCAAATGCCTTGGAAATATCAAGAAATACTGCACGTACTTCATTACGTTTTTCTAATGCTTGATACATTTTGTTAACAACAAAAATTAATTGCATAACTGTGGAATCACCTGGGAGAAAACCTGATTGAAAACAATAGAAAAAACCCGTATTATTAAGAAAATTATACACGTCCAAAAAGACAACTTTTTCGCATACTTTGGATAAACCAACTAACAAGGAAACTGGGCGATAATTCGTTTTCATTTGCCGATTCTCTTTTTTAAAAATGGGTATAACATTTGCAATTTTCCAACAACTGGGATATTGTCCTAACGAAAGTGATAAATTTATAAGCAAAGTAAGAGATTTAAAAATACCTCCAGCTCAAAACTTGAGTGCTTTGTTGCTAATATTGCAAAACCGCATGCTTTAGAGATGTCTAAGTTATATAAAATATTTAACACTTGATATTCATTAACAACAATAATTGACAAATTATCAGGTGAACTAGGTAAATTTAAGACGGAATAACCGCAGTATCAGCATTAGGCACAATAACACCTGAGCCTGGTGTTGCGAATCTGAAATGACGATATTGTTATCAATTAAATCAGGTAACGAAGAACAGGACTTGTTACCGTACAAAGATTTTGAAATGCCCCACCACTTTTTGGCTGATGTTGATAGATCTGCTAGTAAAGTATTTATTTTACGTCGGATTTCCATTTTGGCTCTCCTAATTAGTTTAACAACGAGATTTTGTCGAATGCTGTAACGTTCCCAAGACAACACACTTTTAATGTTTGAAAAACGTTTAAAAAGGCGATCACGTCTTCGAATAGCTTTGCGAATTGAGCCATTCATCCAGGGCTTGTCTTTCGGCCGAACAGCAATTTCTCTGGAGGGAATATAGTAATTGTAAATTGTAAACAACATCAGTAGAGTCTGACGAATTAGAAAAAACATCGCCCCTATTAGCATTTAATAGTGCCGCATTCAGAGCATTAACATTCGCATTTTATAATTACGGACAGTTCTTTTAAATGATCGTTGTTTTCTTGAAGAGATATTCAAGTTAGCATAAACCAGCATAAACGATATTGTGATCACAATTGGAAGGAGGACTCAAAGTTCCAGTAGAAATGAAATAGCCAGGAGAATCAGTAATGATTAAATCAAGAATCAACTGAATTTCCCCGGTCAATGTTACGCGAGTAGGTTCTTCAATTAATTGAAATAAGTTATTACCTTCCAAAAAATCGTATAGCTTGACACCGACATCAGAATTAAATGACGAGGCACCGGCGAAATAAAAATGAGAATTAAAGTCACCTAAAATTATGATAGTGGAAAAATTATTTGACATATTAATAGAGTCGAAACTGGCCTGTAAATAACTTAGAGATAAATCTAATTGATCAGAGGTTTGGCTAGGAGGCCCATAACACACTCCGCAAAGTATTTTCACTCGATTGACAGCTATTTCAGCCCATAACAACTCGGTAAATGCGGACTCCAAATCAAGTCGTCTGACGAACAGCAAGTGATCCGCGACGTACAAAGAAACACCTTTCACCTCGAGATGAAATTCGACCTTTTCTCAGTGGAGCACTAAAACCTGACATTAAGATTGACTCGTTTGAGATAGTGGAGTTTAGCCAAGTTTCAAAGAAAGCAAGCAAGTGAAATTTATGTAGTTCAGCAATTGCAGAGATTTCGCTAAATTTATCAACAATATTTAAGCTTCTTGAGTTCAAATGTGCTAAATATTGCGTGGGCCGGGGTTTGGATGCACCGAACCAGATAATAAAAGTAACATGATAAACCCAAATAGAAGTATAAATAGTATAACAAGACTAATAATTGCAAGAAACAAACGTATGCCATAAGCATTAACAGTAAGATAAGAAATACAACAATTATACAGACCGATAGCTACTCGATATACTTCTAAACTATAACCCGATATATAAATGCTCACCTCATGCTTCTCAACTGAAATACTTATAGACATAACAAACATAAAGAAATAGAGAAAGAAAAATGATTATATAGTATAATGTTAGTTTAAGGAACAAAATATATTAGATATCGTCACCGTGGGAAATAGCGTACGTTACCGATCAAGAATCAATCATTTCTCTGATTGAAGCTAGGGCCAAAATGTCATCAGGGCAACGAACCACATGAAAGATCATCTTCGAGCGGTTTTACAATAGAATTAAGTTCGCTTTTAATCAGTTGTTTCACCTGATTTGATATAGCACTTTTCATCTCTTCGCTGTTCATCGCCTTGATAATTTCATCTTTACTCAATATACTAATATGTCGTTCTTCAAGTCAGCGTCCAGTGAAGCTTTATGTGATCTCGTAACAGACATGGCGGCGAAAATATGTGAAAACAACTTTAGTCTTGGCCTTGACCAGTCAATAAACACGAATAGCAACAGCTGCAATCAACCGGTACGATAACATTTTACATTAGTTTCAAAGGACCGAAAGTTTGACAAATGTAAGAACAATATGTACGAAAATATGAAGATAAGCAGCGAGCACCAAAACCTAGACGCTTACTCGTCAAGCTGTGAAATAATAATAATGATTATTAATTATTAATTATTAATCATAGTTATTTTAAGTTCTTTGTATGTTTGCATGGCGATAAAATATATAATAGTTTTGTTTGTGGAAACACCACGTAATAAATTTACGTGGTGTTTCCACAAACAAAACTATTGCATAATTATTTTGTTATATATGGTACATTTATAGTCACATCATTTAGAATTTAGAATTATTATGTTACGTTAAAATTTTGTTATATGGTGCATTAGTCACAGAACATTTTATTATTATAGGATTGCTTCATAAGTTGAGTTAAAGTTAATAAGATGTATTTACAGATTGTATGTATTTTTTCATTTTTATATAGAGCATACATTAATACATGCATGATACATTAATAAATGCCCATTTTGTAACTCTTACTCTGTCTGTTTTTATTATAAAAATGGTGGCTTTCTGACAGTTGATTGTGGTAGAGAAGAGACTGCAATCTGAACAGTTTTATTATATCATCAAATATAAACAAAGTGACAATACAGCTGGGTATATAGTAACTATAGTTAACTATAAAAACTTTTGTTTGTGTTAGCTTTTACCAAGCTTGCCGTTGGCGTATAGGGTAAAGGTGCTGCATGCGGAAAGTGAAACGCAGTCCGGGTCGGGTTGTGTTTTGTCTCACTTAGTATATATTTTTCTTAAATAATTTTTTAAACTTTTTTTTCCACCTTTTCTAACTTTCAAAAAGTTACGATTAGCAGTTATGACCTTGGACTTATTAAGATATTTATGTCGCTAAATTTATTTAGATATTTTGTCGCTAAATTTGATTGGCTAACGTAAGACAAAGGGAATGGAATGTTGTGCTCGGGTGAGCAGCCGCTTAATTGTGGGGAGAAACCTCCACACAAAGAGCGGTTGCGAAGGAGACTACTATATATAGCCAGCATTTCACTAAATAGCTGGCTGTATCAGCCAGCAGTTTACTAAATAGCCGGCTGTATAGTCACGTTCAAAATATAGAAATGTTTAATCAATAATTGTGCATGAAATTTTTTTCATAGGAAGGGTGCAATTTCTTTGTGCAGATACATGTACGCCTAGCCTACCTATTTTTCACTTTGTTTTCAAAATAAGCACCCCCAAAATGGTGAATTTGGCATTCCTGAGAAAGGCTAATTCAATTGATTATTAAATAATCTTGGAATTTATAATACTGGCCAAAACCGTTATCATACTATATAATTAAAAATTTTCTCAAACTAAACATCAGCCAGCTGTGCAAATGGCACATTTTAATCACAAATAGACCATGTCATTTAATGCGCAGTCGAAACTCCGAACTGATTATTGTTCTCGCTGGCGGTAGCGCCATGGCAGCGCATCGACTGATTAATCTTTCAATCACATGAGTAAAGATTGCGGAATACCATTGACTTGTGTAAAAAGTCGTAGTTTAGATTTTTATGCTTTGTTCTATATTCGACCACATATGGTTAATTAACTTTAAATGTTAATAAGTCGATTAACATTAGGTAATTGCTCTCAGTGGGAGAGTTGAAACATCTGTACAATATGTTGACGATGCACATCTGTAAGTAAGCTAGGCAGTGTCAGAAAAACCAAGCATTGACCATTGTATTGTTGAAGTAGGAATGACACTTGAGTATATACAGCAGGAATTGCGAAGGTATAATACTTCTGTTTCTCCAAAGAAACTTATGTTTCCACCTCTGTCGTTACAGGTTTCTTGTAAGGACACTGATCGATCTTTTGTGGAGAATTAACAATGTAATAATATTCTACAAAATTCCGTGATATTCCGGCATATTCCGTGATATTCCGGCATTTCCGGGTTTTCACAACGCCATAAATGTATGGACAGTCACCTTTGGTTAATTTTCTTGCATAATCACTACTTCTTGTACATGTAGACTGTAATTATTTCTAGTTTTTAAGATTTCACATTCATTATTCCGCTTGCATGCATTTTCACAGCAAAGGCATCGAAATTGCGCCTCGTCGCTTCCATTTTGAGTTTTTGACAACCTTTACCTTCGGAATACTTGACACCCCGTTTACAAAGTAAATTTCAGCAAGGATGACACATGACACGAGCGCTGCCTGCATTCACTAAACTTCGTGTTTATTATGCATTTCTAGAATGTGTTGGGGAACATTAATTACTTCTTTGCAGGGACAGCTGAGTAATTTCTTGATGTGGTTAAATAATTCTGTAACTTTTCATGCCTTAGCGGAGATAATTCTGAATTCAAAACAACTCGATGTAGAACTATTTTATTTGCCAGTCATAGTAATAAAAAAAATGCTTTTTTCTACCATAGGTTGGACCGCCCGTAAAGTATTTTTCAACGCAGAAGTCTTTGATGCTTGGGAAAGGTTCAATGGGTACATTTGTTTATGTCGGCATCATGGAAGATGGTACTGAAGTGGCTGTAAAGAGGATCATTAAACAGGAGTTTGACGATACAGCTCAAAATGAGCTAGAAATTCTGAGTCGAATTGATGCAAGCAAGTCACCCTTTATAGTAAGCTATCAAAAATGTTTAGAAGACGCCACTTTTGTGTATATAGTTTTGGATCTCTGCGAAGAAACATTGAAGGAACACGTTTGTACTCAAAGTTTGGAATATCTACAAAATCATGGTCCAAGAATGATCAAAGAAATCTTAAGCGGAATTGAATTTCTTCACAGTCGAAATATTTTGCACAGAGATCTCAAACCATCAAATGTCTTGGTTGATATCGAAGGTCACATGAGATTGGCAGACTTTGGAATAAGTCGTGTTTTGAATGAAGAAGAAACCACAGTTCTTACACATGCGAAAGGAACCCGAGACTGGATGCCCGCCGAAGTAATTGAAGTAATAAGTAAAGAAGAGGTAGGGCGTTTTAAAAAGAAATCTGATGTTCAGGTCGCAGGTATGATCGCTTTCTTCATTTCAACCAAAGGTGAGCATCCTTTTGGTCCTGTGCTTGAACGAATGATAAACATTTCCAAAGGAAATCCTGTTAACTTACACATGCTGCGCGAACTTCAAGTTCGGAGTTTTATTTCATGGTTGATCAGTCATAACATTGATGATAGACCTTATGCTCATGAGGCGTTGGCAAATCCCTTTATGGTTCATGTACCAAAATCTCTCAGGAAAATTATATTACAACAATCCTGTATATAGATTGTTGTAATATGATTTCCCCATTGTTAACTGTTGCATTGTAAAATTATTCTCAAATAAAACTTTATTGAATCTCAAATTCAATATATGAAAACTGCGAATTCAATAACTAATAATAATAGAACACTTTCTTTAAGCAGGGTAACTAGAATTACATACGTAATTTTCATCTAGGCCCTATAAACTATACTTCAAGAATGTTAATATACTATAGTATATACTATAAATAACTAATGTTATAAAACATCCAATCCGTCTTTAAGTTTTAAAAATGCCATTTCTAAGTACATATTACGCAAGGAGGAAACACATTAGGCATTTCTAATATTAGATTCAAGAGCATTCCATTCTGATGCTAAAAATTCCAACCTGCGCTGGCCTCACTTTTTCGTTACATTAGGTAATTGCAAACTATATTTCGCTCACCCCCGTGTCTTGAAACTATATGCTAAAGGGTTTAATTAAGTTAGTAAAATATGATGGAGCTAAATTATGTTAATAGACAGTCACTGGGCAAACATAATTCGATCGTAAATTGGTAGCCAACCCAGTTGTACGACAACGGTAACGATGGAGCTTTACTATCGGTGTCTAGGATCAGTCGTGCAGCTTACAGACGACATATATATCCTATCCAGATTTTGTTGCGACGTATTACCCCAAACTACACAACAATAGTCCATTAATCATAAGAACAAACAGTTATAAAACCAATATACGAGCCTTATATGGAAGGTAATGTCTAATGCGTCTGAGTACCAAGTCTCTGTGAGTATACCAAGTTTCCAACTATACAGTTTGATCGATATATAAAGTTTGATCGAAGTTACGCAAATGTTTTCTTGAAGTGTGGAAAGTTTCCGAGAAGAAGCTATTACCATCAGTTTAGTCTTTTTCTCATTTAAAACCATTTAGTTCATCTCACTCCATTGAGCAATTGGGTGAATATCTCGACCGAACTTCACTTCAACATTCTATAAGGAACTATTAGAAACATATTGTGTGGCATCGTCCGCATAGAGATCAATTTCCGTTTCAGAAAGATATAAAGAAAGATCACTCATATACAGGATAAACAGTAGGGGCCAATTATCGAACCCTAAGACACTTCCGATTTTATATTTCCCTTGATGGAAAACTGGTTGTCAATAACAACTTGAAATTGCCTATCACTGAGGTACAGGAACGAAACCAGGTCACTGTATCTTCGTTAAGACCATATAGTTACAATTCCTCTAGCAGCGTGGTATATTCAACAAGATCAAAAGCATTTAGTAGATCGATCAAGGAAATATTTGTCCTTGGTCCATACTTTGGAGTAGATGATCAATTATTTTCAGTAATAGTGATTGGCATGATGATGTTTACGAAAGCCATATTGTTTGGAAGAAATCAAGTCCTATATTTAACCAGATAATTATAAAGTTCATCAAACACGTGTCTTTCACGTATTTTAGATAATAAAGGCAGCACGAAAATGGGAGGACAACAATTCATGTCCGTGTGATATCCACCTTAACAGATCGGGTAACTCTGGCGAACTTCCAGCGTTTAGGCGTTGTCGAACGAGTTAAATTCAAGTTGAAAATTCTTGCACTATAAGGTGCAATGACAAAGAGGCAGCACAACTGAGACGTTTGGCTCCAAGATTGTCTACACCTATAGCAGTATTTGCCTTCAAATGTAGCAACTGACTCTTAACAACATTCTCTGTAACCATTTAAGAATACCAAACTGAGTATCCCATGGGCGTCTGCGCGTTCCAGTTCTCTCAACGTGCTAAAATTGGATTAACTGATAGTACCTTCAATCGAAAAACATTAGCAATGTTGGAAAAATAGTTCAAAAAAGATTCAGCAATCATATGCAAGTCCTTCCCCGTTCACTTTTACCAATCTAGGTGCCGCTGACTTTTTATAACGCTTCAAGATATCGTTGATAAATTTCCACATTTTACCAGGCTGCCCTTCATTTTCTTCAATGGAAGCTCTGTAAATATCACGTTACTTCTATTTATTTTCTTATACTACTACAGACAGATTGTTGATAAGTCAAAATTGTCCGATAAAAAACTTTTTGTTATACCCTAGAAGCAGTGCCGGATTATCTAACGGGGAAAAGTGGCATTTGCTCCGGCCCTAGACTAGATTTCCACCCTCCCAAACCTGGTTTTCCTTCAATAGTTTATATAATGTGATCATTGAATAATTAAACTCATTGGTTAAAGCAACCTCGCTTACCTCGGTGTTTACAGTAACAAATATAGTGCAATGTAATATTGGAATATCTTCACCTCTCACACGTACAACTTTTATATAAAATATTCCAACCATATAGGCATACTGTCACTTATTAAACAATACTAAATAAAACATTTTGTAAGCGCAGGAACTGCAATATGAGTTCTATATGTCCGATCAAGGCGGAGAAATCAGACTTCTTCACAGCCATGGGCGAATTCGCATTTTGTGACCGGCCTTTTTAATAGTTTTCCCTCGGCCCTGGAAAGGTTAATCCGGCACTGCATATAGAAGATTGTACCCCGAAGTAAATCGTGAAGTTTTCTCGTGATTAATCATGCATGCTTTTTTAATAATATCAATGGGAAGTTTTACAGTAAGCACGTTACCCGTGACATCCGACCAGCATCTGAACGGAACAACAACGTTTTTCAAGGATATATTGGAAGTAGGGTTTATGTTAATAACGGTTCCCACAACAGATTCTCCTTCAGTATCAGTACGGACATTGGCGATAAGGTCGATATGTCCGCACTACTCAAATTTTATATCACATAAATAAAATGGAAGACGAACACTTTGTTACCGAACAAGGGTTAAGGGATATCTACTACAATCCGGGTACCGGTTATCAACCCGCGGAGAAGCTCTACCGGAAGGCAAAGGAGGAGGGGCTGGACGTTAGTCGAAAAATAGTGAAGGACTGGTTAAAGATCCAGAACACCTACACAAGGTATAAACCTATCGTTAGAAAGCACAAATTTCAAAGAACATTCGTTAAGGACCTAGCGGAACAGGTGCAGATGGATCTAGTGGATATGGGAAAATACAAAAACCAGAATAAAGGATATTACTGGATACTAACAGCTGTTGAGATTCTGAGCCGGTACGGATTTGTTATTCCCGTCTACAGAAAGGATACGAAAAACATGACGAAGTCTGTGAACTTATTACTGGAGGAATTCAGGAAAAGGTTTGGAAAATACCCGGAAGTTGCTCAGTTCGACGAGGGAAAGGAATTCTACAATGTTGGTGTTAGGGACCTCTTACAAAAACACGACGTCCGCTATTTTTCCACGAACTCTGACAGAAAGGCAGCCATCGTTGAAAGATTCAACAGAACCTTGAAGACAATGATGTGGAAGTATTTCTACAGCAAAGGGACTTACAATTGGGTCGACGCCTTAAGCGAGCTTACGAATAACTGCAATCATACCAAACACAGCAGTATACTAACGAGACCTGCCGACGTAAGCAAGTCGAACAAGAACCAAGTGTGGATCACGCTATACGGTCACGGATTGGGAGAATTTCCATTACCTAATAAGTTTAGGGTTGATGATACGGTCCGAATAACGAAGTATAAAAATATCTTTACCAAGGGATACGAAGCAAACTTTACGGAAGAGATATTCAAAGTTGTAAAAGTATTCAGGGGAGATCCTAACATGTGTGAAATAGAAAGCCACGACGGAGAACCGATCATCGGAAAGTTCTACGAAGAGGAACTATCCGCTGAGGATAAAAAGGACGATGTGTATAGGATGGAGAAAATTCTGAGAAGAAGGAAGGGTATGGTACTGGT